TTGTGGGAAGGGAGGAGGAGGAAGTCTTTACTTACCAAACATCACTGCTGGTGGATAACACTGGCAAGGGGAAGCTTTCAATAATCAGCTACTTCCTCCTCCCATCCCACAGTTCCCATGGCTTCCATGCAATGCAGCAAATTACACAGGAGTTATAAAAACCATGGTGCAGAAGGAGAAATGTTTTAATGGCCAAAAATCACCCCACCAGTTACATTATTGTCCTTTAATGGGTGTAATATGTGGAACAAGATTTCACCCAATGGTGAAAGATGACGGAAACTGATGTCTGGAAAAATCTGGAGAGATGCATACACCCCATTACTGCTTTAAAAATTATTTTTCATTTGTGGATTAAATAATTCAGAGGTTTGGTCCACTGCTTCTCCTCTTCTCCACTCTGACACCACGGCTGATTAACTTTTGGATTACATTTTTCTTTGCCATTTTCATAACATTTCTAGGTCCCTTCTGCCTGCAAATCTGTGTTCCTTGACAGCTGTTCAAATTTACTGAGCAGGTATTTGATAAGACTTGAGCATTCTTTAGTATTTCTTCATCCACCCTGAGAGATTTATGTCTTTGTTCCCATCCAGGAGCACTGAGTCAAACAATACATTCCCATTTTAGTAGCTTTCTTTATTGCAACATATGCTGACTCCGTCAATAATCCATCCTCTGCTGTCTTTGAGAAGCAAAACTGTCTCATTCCATGACCTCTTGTTCCATTTTTCTGAAAAATGTTGTTCCACTTACTGCAAGCTCCTATCCAATCTTCCTTTCATTCACTAAGTTTTTCAAGTTGTCTCTCCACCCCTTCTAAAGCTTGCCTAACATATAAGCTGGAAGAGGGGTGAGTATTAATATATTTTCAGACATAACTGAATTATGGCAGCATTAACAGACTAAAATCTGTAAGATGAATAGTGCATGAATGTATACATTTGCAAGCATGCAAGTCTGTCACAAATCACTATTCAGAGTATCTGTCAACTATTGTACTTGAACTCCAGATCTGAATGATCCCTGAAGCTGTCTGAAAATGTACTTCAGCTCACTAAAAACATTTCTCACAGGGCTATCCCCACCGCTACCCATCCTTTTTTGTTGTTATAAGCCCTCAAGTTGCTTCTGACTTATGGTGACCCTTTGAATGACCAATTTCCAAAATATCCTGTCCTCAGCTGCCCTCAGCTCTTGTAAACTCAAACTTGCAGTTTCCTTTAGGGAGTCATTTCATCTCTTACTTGTTCTTCCTCTTTTCCTGCTGCCTTCTGTCTTTCCCAGCATTATTGTCTTTTCCAGGGAATCCTGCCTTCTCATGATATGTGCAAAGTAGGACAGCTTCACTTTCAACATTTATGCCTCCAGAGACAGTTAGTGCTATAATTACTTGGGCATAAGAGAAGATGGGAACATTGGGATGGTTCCTGAATGTGCCTGGCTAATGAGTTTCTTCTTTTGATGTCAGTGTGACTACCGCCCCATCTATAACGTAATATGCAGCACGCACCTTACACATGGAAGCCCTTATTTTCAGAAACCTGGTTTGCTTGAGCCCTAATCATTCCACTCAGAAAAAAAGAGAGAGAGAGAAATGGAGAAGTGGGGAGGAAGTAAATGTTCACAAAGAGGAAATACTATGATTATGCATTGCACTGCTTATAAGGATGTATGATTGCTCACTACCAAAAGAAAAATGTCATCAGCCACATATATTAATGTTTAAGTTAAAGTTTCCTATAACCCCCGATTCTAGGGTTTGCTACGGATCCCTTTTGACCTGGAGAATCCTTTGGGATCCTCGCAAGAGAAGTGGGGAAGACTTTAATATCTAAAAATTGACCCTGGTACTTTCTCAAGAGCTCCCCAGGTCAAAAGGGGTTCCTAGAGATCAATGGAACCTGAGGGCAATGGAGGTAGGAAACTTGAAAACTAAAGATTAAAGTTTGTGCCTGATTACATCATTAGCCTTATAACCATTCAGCTCTGTCAATAGGATTTACACCATGGAAATGTTGAATGAGTGCTGTTATATTTCAGGGTCTTACATCAAGCTTACCCACATGGTACTACAAAGTCAGAACAGCCTGACCACAGAAGTTAAAGCCTGTCAGAATACATGAACGTTCTGGGCAAGCCCTTAAGTCAACAGCGTTCATAATACAAATCAGAGATGAGATGTCTGTAGGATTTCAGATGTTGTTAGATTCCAATACCCATCAGTCTCAGGCTGCCTAATGAATGCTTGAGGCAAGAGGGAAGTAAGATTTCCACTCCAATATAAATCTTGCACCAGATTTAATAACTGAGGCTCACTGAAATCATTTCGCAAAAGTTAATCAGAGGATTTATTTCATATAAAAAGTCTGGCACAGTAGACAACTGGTTGGTGGCATAAGATTATTTAAAAGCAATGTTTTTAAAAGGAATGTAATCTATACCATCTGGGTTCTCCTTCTATTTAAGGTGCTAGTGGAGCATAAGTCACTATCCAACCATAAGAAGCACAAGACAGCATTGATTTAGATGCATGTGCCTAAGTTCTTTATGTGCCTTGTATGTGTGCTCACACTTCACACACAAATCAGCAGACAAGCCTGTCCCTCCCACTATAATAAATTCATGGACAACATGCTTCTATTTTCCATCTGGGGTAGGAAATCTGACAGCCTGGATTTTATTTTATATGGACAATTATGATCCCATTGTTCTCTTGAAGGAACAATATTTCCTGTGCTTTGATGTTTGTAGCTTTGTTAGACTCTAGAGAAACAAAGATAGGTATCACCTGCCCCTGCATTTCTATTGTTTTGGAGACCACCTGGCCCCTTTCTGAGTTTTTCTGAAAGATATGAACAAAATTTTGCTTTTCTAGCTGAACCTATATAAATGGTAGGAAAACATCAAAAATTACCAGTTGGCTGATTTGGAAATGTGACTGGAAGCCTGTTTAAGAACTCTGTAATTTTTCATAAAGTGCTGCAAACGTCTCACAAACCAGGACAGGATATTTTGCTCAGGAGATCTCCACCTTAGTCTGCTGCACTGAGAACAACAAAAGGTCCGGTGGTACCTTACAGACTAACAAGTTTTATTTAGTGTAAACTTCCACAGATTATATGAAACCTGTAAGTCTTTCAAGGTGCTACAAGAAAGATCCAAGGTTAACCTAAGTTCAATAGTCTGTTCTTCTCAGGTGGCCAACCAGATGCCTCCGTAAAGTGCACAGTAGGGTATGAGCACAACAGCATTTTTCCATTTGTGTCCACCCGCAGCTTCTTCTGAGAGACATATTGCTTCAGATATTAAAGGTACGTTCATGGTGAGTACTAGGTACTGATAGCCTTATCCTCTGTGAAAAAGAGGCAGCTTAGGCTGAAAGACAGTGATGTGAGTTAAAAGTGTTCAGTAATTTTCCTAAGAGATGTGGAATGTGATTCTCCCTATTCAAAACCAGCCTTCTAACTCTTACTGTTACCACTAGCTTATCAGCATAACCAAGCTATCAAAATCAAACTGAGTACAACAGCTTTATACTGGTTCTAAAAGACATACAGAAAAAAAAATCAAATTTCCATAAGAATATTTGGTATTTATACTAGTATAATGCAGTGGGCTAAGACTGAATTCATGGCTATTGTACAGGATTAAGGGGAAACTTATAATCAGGTAAATAGAAAGCTTAACTTTGTTGTTCAGGAAATCCACTAAAGGCTAGTGTACAAGAAGGATTCTAAACATGATTAGAGAAACCTTTAAAGCTGTACCAGTCTGTTCAGCAATCATGGAAAACCTATTTCAATATGCCTCTCTCTAGCTAGCAGTCAAAAGAAGCAGGAAGTAACTTCAGAGGAAGAACCTTAGGAATACCAATATACACATAGGACCAGAATAAGCAAAAGGGGAAAACACACCTAGGCTCTCTAGTTGTGCAACCTTTCTGTTCCTTGTTCAGAATATTTGCTATATCCATTGTCGCTACATTCAGTCTCAAAGGAAGGTTGATTCCAGAGATGTATGGTTGCTCTGGGAACATGTATTTAGCTACCCTGGCAATATGAGTCCACAACTGAGCTGGTATAAAGTAGAAGGGCATCCATTTATCGTGTTATAAATTATGAAGAGAGTCTGTAAGGAGGAAGGCATGTGAATACATTTAATTTATATAAGCAGCACACTTTAATTTAGGGGAGAATGAAAGTACTGAAAATCACAGAATTATAGAATCGTGAAATTGAAAGGGGCCTATAAGGCTATCGAGTCCAACTCCCTGCTCATGCAGGAATACAAATCAAAGGATATCTGTCAGATGGTTGAATGCCTCCAGTGTTGGAGCACTCACCACCTCTTGAGGTAATTGATTCCATTTCCGTACTGCTCTAACAGTTATGAAGCTAGGAAATATTTAGGAAATATTATGTTCGATGCTTGGATCTGCGAAATATGGTAAACTAACAGATTTGTAGATGGAGAACTGAGGTAAATGGAATTTAAAAAGCAAATTAAAATTTGATATGGAAGGGCCGAATGATACAATAGAAAAAAATGAAATGCTAGTCATTCAAATGCTAGTTTAAGGTGAGGGTCACTATTTAAAATTTTAGCGTTAAAAAAAGACCTAGAAATCAAATTTCTTTCCCCCCCAATAACACATATCTGGTGTGCCTGCATCTAGACCTCCAAGAGCTCTTAAATGAATTGATATATAAAATGAAGATTTACGGTGTAAATACAGATTAAATGAATAATAAGACAGAAAATAATGACTCATAAGAGTCAGGTGGTCATGGGGAGCATTTTCCAGATGTCCTTCTGGTACCTGTGGCAGGTACTGTGGGAAGGATATGTCCCGTTTGTTCAGCATGATCTGTCAGGCCTCTATAGATAGACATAGTAAAGTCACTCCTCTCACCTCCATCCACCACAATAACAGACATTTCACTAGTCATCAATCCACTCTCCCTCCCCCATTAGTTCCATGATATTACTCAGCCTACCTGTGTTGTAACCTCTACCAAGAGCTGGCCAGGGCCGGTGGTTCTTCCAGAGATTTCCCAGATACCAGTCACTCTGGTTTTCCACCAAGCCAAGAACCTGCTGTCCTGGAAAACAGAAGTCATGTGAGATTCTTAGACTCAGGACCAAATTTTTATGTTTTGTTTTTAATCAAATCCTCAAAATATCCCAGTCATGTATCCAACATTATCCATTATCTCTAGAACAATTTTCTAGTGGCATCATTCACACTGATATCTAGATATACAGACACAAAAAGACATATACACACACACACACAATATTCTAATGGTAAGTGTGAAAATTTATATTGACCAGTGTCAGTTTGGGAAAGCTATAATTGCTTAATCTAAATGGCCACACAAAAGATGCTAAAGCATCATTCTTATATTGCTTTTGATTGATTTTTGTTGGTTTCCTTCTCCCTGTAACATGACTTTGACACTGAAAAGGAGTTCAGATTCTCCATTTCATACCTAATAACTCATTTCCCTCTCCCAATAGATTTTCATCTAGTCCAACTACTGAGCCATTTCATTTCTTTAACAAAGTACCATGACTATTTTTGACCACATTGTTCTTGTTTGCAAGCGAACTCTTTACATAGCTATTCTGTTATCTTTTGTTTCCAGGAAGGATTATAAAAACTCTTCAATCCAACTAAAGCCATACTTTATTCCTCTGGGAAAAAAACACCATATTCATTTCAATTAAATTAAACAGCTAAATGTGTTTGTGTGGTCCACTGCATGCTAGATGACAATTTCATTGCATTTCATTTTATTCCATTCCATTATTTATACTCTGCATTTCTCCCAAAGAGAAGACCCAAGGTGGCTTATACTATTAAAATACGATGTATTTTAAATGCTTAAAATGCAATAAATTATTAAAATATTCAAAAGCAGTTAAATCAGCATCACACGATAAACAACTTAAACATTTGAAAAAAAGCATGTTAGAAAGACTGAAAGATATGATTACTGGACTCTTATTTAAGTCTGTACTACAACTTTACATTTCTGATATGTTCTCACAGATTTCTTAACCAGAAAGTTTTGTTGAGCTGGTAAAATAAAAGTCTGCTTAAACATAAGCCCTATTTGCACATGACAAAAACTGTCAGTGTGGTAGACAGATGGGGTGCAAGCACTACTCATTCAGTCCTCCCGAATTTCCCTCTATTGCGGAGGAAAGAAATGTTGTGTGGATGTAACTGTGTTTACCTCTGTAAGATTAAAGTCCTCAAAGATATATTCATGTGTGTGCATATATAAGCTGCTATATCTAGATTGCGGATTGTTTCTATTACATAAGGAAGTTGTCAGGGAAGATGTCACATGTTCCTGCCTGCTGTTTATGTTTGGAATTTTATAACACATGAACAGGGCTCTAGTGAAATGGCAATGTGTTATTTCTGAGAGCCTCACTGATGAGGGCAGATGGAGCACTTCAGGTAATAATCAACACCAGAGTGCAGCTTTACTGACTATTAAATATATTAAGCTGGTTCATATTGGCCAGCAACATCAGTGGTCGATCAACCCCTGTGTAGTCTAATTTCTTTTGGAGATACGAGCTCATCAGGAAGGAACCTTTCCTTGGCTTTAACAGACATGCTGAGTATTGAACCTACAAATTTGTTTATGCATGCAAATCATTTGCTAGACTACCATTAATGAATCTGGAATCTTCCCTGTAGCATCTTCTTTCTCTTCTTTCCCTAATATATTTTATTAATAAAATAAGCAAAAATAACTGAATTTATGGTATTAATATTAATATTTTAATGTTCTGAACTTGAGGACTCTAGCACACATTTTCCTAATATTTCACACATTACTGTTTGATATTTGTATTGCTATATTCCACACTCTTGTATTTCTGATCACCATGTATCGGTGTGAACGCTGGACAGTAAAGAAAGCTGATAGGAAAATAATTGATTAATGTGAAATATGGTGCTGGAAGAAAGCTTTGCTGATACCCTGGACTGCCAGAAAGACAAACAAGTGGGTCCTGAATCTAATCAATCCTGAACTATCTCTGGAAGCAAAAATGTTGAAATGGAGTCTTTCCTATTTGGGCTTATCACAAGAAGGCAGGATTCTCTGGAAAAGACAGTAATTCTGGGAAATGTGGAAGGCAGCAGTAATCACATAGACTGACTGCATAAAGGAAACCACAGGTTTGAATTTACAAGAGCTGAGCAGGGCAACTGAGGATAGGACATTTTGGAGAGTGCTCATTGATAGGGTCAGTATAAGTTGGAGGCAACTTGATAGCACATAATAACAACAGCAACAATAGCAGTAGCACAAGCAGCAGCAGTAACAGTTATTTAGCTCAGACTACTCTAGCTACAACACCACAAGGAGAATATGGAATTAGTTTCTATTTTGGATCCTTCAAGTTTTGGGGAAACCCACACACAGCAAAACAAGAAAATACATTAAAAACCAAGTATGATGCATCTCAGTAAAGATTGCTGAGCAAGCATGAGCATCTTATTTTGCAGAGAAAGCTGCTTTTCGGGACTATGAGCTTTGTTTCCCCTTATAGCCATATATATACACGCATGGTATTAAAGGTCATGTGGAGCAAATGAAGACAGAATGAAGTCCTAATTGCCACGGGCTGGCTGTGCTAAAGCATGGCTCAGGTGGAACCAAGTATTATCAGTGATAAGACGAGAAAGCTCACCTTATCTAATGTCCTGCAAATGCATTTCACAACTCAGCAGTCTAAAAATCTTCTTGGGAAGATACATCTTGCATCAAAAGAAAAATGTGAGAATCCCATTTGCAAGAAGCTGCTCTTGAATTCCCTCTCTGCAGGCCACCAGTCGACTTTCATTATACAATCCCAAAGTCAAGTCACAGGAGCCAGGACTCAGACTGATTCATAATTGGTAATGCACAAACCTTGTTCCTTGTTAATGGATTTGTTTTCTCGCTTAGAATTCAGGGGTGTTGTGTTTTGTTAAACACCCATTTTACTCTCTTATTTCACCCTGTTCTGCCATCCATAAAATAACACTAAAAGAGACAAACAGGACCCTCAAGAAAAAGCTGCAGTGTGGAATCTATCTGTTTCTGCTCTCCTCACTCAGCCATTCCCTGTTCCCCACATAAGACTGCTTGTGATCATCAGACAGGGATAGAAAAGAATTTGGCTGGCTTGTAGAGTCTTGCCAAAAGTAGTGCTTCTGCACTCCCAAGACTTGTTGGAAGGAGAGATGAACCTTGCCTTGAAAATTCACACCGTTGCAAAGGTAATGGGACATTTGGAAGAAATAAAGTGCTCACAGAACTGTGTGCGTCCTTTAAGACATAAATAGCTAAAGCATATACAAGTGAACAATGTACAAAAACATGCTTTGGCCAGTGGGGGAAAATACATAGAGGGGCATAAATACATGTGCATAATACAAAAATTATGTGTGTGAATTCAATTGAAAGAAATCGAACAATATTGCAACTAATACGAAACAAGGAAAGCAAGAAAATGTAGGTGCAATTTGGAGAAATACAATGAAATTGATCACGAGTTTGATTTCCCCCCCAAAAGCCTGGTACATTTTCTTTTTTAGACTACAATTCCTGGAATTCCCCTGCCAGCTTGCCCCTCTCAGTGAGTTGTTTTTGCTGGTATTCTCTCACATCCCCCTTTAATGATCTCACTCCCCCCCTTTTTTAATGATCTCACTCCCCCCTTCTGCAAAACTTGGGCTTTCCAAAGAGTCCTCATAACTTCTCTCCTGAGTGGTGCCATTTTGGCTACAGGAGCACTCCTGTTTGCACATGTGGGTTAAATACTTGGAAATAAATGGTAGCTTTATGTATATTTATTAGTGTCTCATTTTTCTCATCTTCTTTCCATACCTAGGCAAAGGTTCTTGATGTGAACAGTGAAGAACCATTTACCTTTCCAGATGAAAAAGAACTTCCTTGAAAATGTGAATCAAATGTATGTCTGAAGAGTCTGTTTTAACATTGTTGTGCCTACTTTTCATGGAAAAAGCTTTCCTACTAAAGTAAGGGATTATCATACAGTGACTCTTTTCTATGGCATTTTTTCAGATTCATTTCTCCTTGCCACAGAGGCAATGGCACATTCTTTACTAAATTACCTAGACATACCAGCACCAGAAGTTCAAATGCAGCTCTGCTTTGCTGCTTGGCCCAATAATAGAATAAGACTATGTACAGAGCTTTACGATTGCCCCGCATTACGACAAATCCGTTTTATGACAATCTTTTTGCGATTGCAATTGCAATTGCAAAACGGTGGTCTAAATGGGGGAATTTCGCTCTGCGATGATCGGTTCCCTGCTTCGGGAACCGATTCTTCACAAAATGATGTTTTTTAAACAGCTGATCGGTGATTTCAAAATGGCTGCCGGGTAATTAAAATGGCTCCCTGCTGTGTTTAGGGACGGATTCCTTGCTATACAAGAAATTGAAAATGGCCGCCGTATGGAGGATCTTCGCTGGACTGTGAGTTTTTACCCCATTGGAACGCATTGAACGGGTTTCAATGCCTTTCAATGGGGTTTTTATTTTCGCTTTACGATGTTTTCGCTTAACGGCGATTTTCCTGGAACGGATTATCACTGTTAAGTGAGGCACCACTGTACATGGATACATTGTGTATGCCAATCCAGTACCGGGCACTCTTTCAAGTGCTGGTTCTAACCTATAAAGCCATAAACAGCTTGGGCCCTGGCTATCTCAAGGACCATTCCTCCCTTTATGAGTCTGCCTGGATGTTCATCAGAAGAGGCCTTTCTCTCAATCCCACCACCTTCACAGGTGTATTTGGTGGGAGCATGGGAGAGGGCCTTCTGTGTTGCTGCTCCCAGACTTTGGAACATCCTCCCACAAGAGGCCAGGCTGGCGCCATCTTTGCTGTCTTTTCATAAACAGGCAAAGATCTTTCTCTTCAAGCAAGCTTTCCCTCAGTGACTGGCTGCCTGAGTAGAGTTTGTTAAATGTATTGCTGTACTTTACTGTTTTGAATGTGTTTTGGAGTTGCTTTTGTTTACTGTGATATTTCTTTGATCCTTTCAGTATTGTATGCTCAC